GAATGCCAGTAACTGTTCCCTGCTTCATTTGACAGCCCACTTGGAAGACAAGGAAGCACATATGTATGCACAATGTCCATACCAGCAGGACTACGAAAGGGAAGGAAGGCAGGATAAGCAATTAGGATGCAGGATGTGGAGAGCATGCAGAGCAAGGCTGCTGTCATGAGATCACTGCTTGGCAATTCTCAGGCATCCATTTGTAGATGGGGACAGTGACAGCCAGGCCATTTATCAGAGGCAGCGACCAGCCACAGCCATGCACGTACATGCAGCTCAGGGAGGAAACGCAATCCTGCTATCCATGCAACCCCATTCTCATTAGTGCTAATGTCCCATCAACTAAGTCCCGCACTGAGAGGAGAGCGAGGTCTGTTTGAAAAAGGTACTGCCTGTGGTGATGAGGTCAGATAGCACAGCCAGGCTGAGCCATCATTACTGAATTTATGATCCTTGACTTCAGCACAAGAGAACTCCCAGGAGTTAACAAAGGCATTTCAGAGAATGCTTCAGCATGGGAAAAGCAAGGCTCTCACTTTCTGCAAGCTACACCAACAACCACACAGGAACAATCGGCCTCTCAGGATCGCTGGCTGCTTCCAGGGCTGCTGAGGTCTCCCTTGTATCACACAAACATCCCTGTCAGTTCCCTTTAGCACTCACTAACGTGCACTGCACAGGGACAGAGGGAAGCACAGGGGCAGGAAGCTGGGCCTGCTGGACATGGGCTAGCAGTCACTGGGGTTTCCCGTCTCGTGAACACGAAACACCACTGGGAACTGCTGCATGACTGCCAGACTCTCCAGCTTTAAAACCAGTCAGTGTAGGAAGACCACAGACACAGCCGAGGCCAGACCTCCAGCAGGACTGAAAGCAAATGGAAATCTGCAGCAGCAAAAGGATGCCTGTAAATTAAATAATTCAAGATAGCAAACCCCTTCCAGAGGGCTCAGCCAACTAGAACATAAACTCATTCACTGCTCCAGGCAAAATCCCAGGGGGCTGCTGCAGACAAGGGAAAACCTAACTGTGCTGCCAGCAGCAGTTTCTGAACCACACTGTCCACTAGCAGCGGGTGCAGCTGCACAGCTCGGCATCTTCCCCAGCCTCTTCCAGAGCCACTGGGGCAGCTGCCTTAGCACAGGAGGACTGTGTCAGTAGCTGCAACAACAGCAAGCCCCAAGGCTCAAAGAAGGCATGAAAAAGGCTTGAGACATGGCGAGAAGGAAAACATCACATCCTTCCCAATGTTCATCACCTCCAAACAAACAACATGGGAGGGGAAAATAACTGACCTAAGGGATGCTCTGACTGATGGAGGCTGAGCTCAGGCAGTCAGGAGAGCCACTCCTCCGTCTGCGCTGACCTTTCCTTCTGAGGGAAGGGGACAAATGAACGTGACTGTACCCAATGCGCTGCTGCTCGATGATGTCCAATTTCTCCGCCTTGCGGATGACTTCCAGAATGACCTCAAGTTCCTGCGGGCTCAGAGCCTGCATCTTCCTCTGCTTCTCAGTCTGGAACGTGTGCACTGACCAGCCCGTCTGGAGCCTGTGGGAGGGGGTGGAGGGAAGAATTATGCTGTGAAAGGAAAGCACAAAAACTCCTGACCTGCCCCACAGGCCAAACCTGCCAGGCACACAGAGCCTGCGTCAGCCTTCCATCAGAGAAGTCTGTTCCCTGGCTAACACCCAAAGCGGGAGTCTCTTCTTACTGACCAGATCACCCAGTCACTCCTCCAGCAGCACCGAGTGCTGCGCTGTCTCTCCCTGCCTTCTCATTTCCCTTTCTGCTCCAGTTTGTATTTTACCACTCTGCATCCTCACTCCTGTTTGACTCTGCCCGTAAAGAAAACTAGTGCACCTAGGGCTGGCTATCCTGGGGGCACCCTTGCAGAGGTGGGCACTGATGCCAGACACCACAAATGCCAACAGCAGACTCCACAACACCGGGATTACCTGCATCCTCCTCCTTCTAGATCACACATTTCTAAGGCCCTCAGGTCAAACACACATATCGCCAGACACACTTGGAAATACAAATTTGGCAACTTCCTCCCTTGGTCTAACCCAGGCCCACACGAGGACTTTAGCAAGCCACGTCCCTCCGTGCCTCACGTACAGCAGCTGACATTTCTCCTTAGCTCACTTGGGGACAGACGGGAGCTTTCACAGCTCAATTACCATTCAGTAGAGGTTTAGAGGTCATTGGATAAAGTCATGGCTGCTAGCAGAATACAGGGCACTATCAGACACAGCTGTCTTAAAGAGGCTTTCAGGTGAAGGCTGGAGAAGTGGCAGTGGCATGCACTGTTCACACTCAGGCAGTCCCCTCAGATGCTGAGTGACCTCCTATTTTCTAACACTCTGCAGCAGGTTGACCCCAGAAGTTCAGACAAGAGCAGAGGTGGCAATGGCATGGTACTGGCTGCCAGAGAAGGTAAGCATCCAAGAAACAAATGCAATTCTAGTGCTTGACTCATCTCCATCTCTTTTGTCTTTAGGTTATGCAGTAATTTAACTTCAGGGGAAAATGAGATCAAATGACAAGTTCCTAAAACAAAAGAGCACTGGCAGCTGGGGGATGCTGTCAATTATATTTAGGGTGCTGCAGAGAAATGAACCTGCCTCCAAGCCCTTCCTTTCACCCAGGGGAGAGCTGGTGGGATGGACTCCCACCACACACCAGCCATGCTGCAAAATCCACTGTAGGCAGGCAGCAGTCAAGTACTGAGCCCCAGCTTAGCAGGCTCCTGGTCCGGCCCAGCAGCATGCTTCTAGGGTACAGAGGAGTCTGCGTGACAGACAAGCCTCCCAACCCAGCTGTGGATGAAGCCGGTGGTCCAGTGTTCCACAAAGATACCAGGAAACCATTCAGGCCAGTGCTGAGGCTGGAAGGAGAGGAAGCGGGGTGGCAAGGACTCACTTGGCACGCAATGCCAGCTGCCGGTCATTGGGGCACACCCACCGGCCTGTCGCGCTGCCAAAAATCGTGTCGGCCATGGCACCAGGCTGAGGAGGAGAGGCAGGGATCACACCTGTAAGAAGCAAACACCAGCATTGAGCACAACTGCCACCCCACCCTCAAGAAAGCACAGGGCAGCGCTTGGCACGGCCTTATTAACTGTCCCAAAGGGCCACGCTTCTGGTAAGCAAAACAGAGGCAATCTGCTGGCATCACACACAGTGGAAGTAGACAGACTGTCACCCACTGACAGCAATAAAAACATAGCATCATCCTCATAAAATATAAGCCAATAAATACCTTCAAATACCTTGAAGACAAGGCTGGAAGTTTAGATTTTATGGTACGCTGAAAAAAAAGCCAGAGGCTCTTTGTCAGTTCTGATTTTTCATTTCAAACTAGAGAAAAGCATTGTTTGTAAGAATAATCTCTGCCCCACCACCTCTAGAGCCCCAACACTGCAGCACTGACAGAGAAAGCCACTCTAAAGGACACAAAGAAGCTACAGTTGCTTTTTTTAACCTCTTAATGGGGTAACAAACAAAAACCCACGCGACAATCAGCATGAATAGTGGCAAGTCATTTCGTTCATTAAAACTGCCTCCATAATAGCCTGATATTTATAACTACAGCCCACAATAGCAGCTTGTTTGCATTCTCTGATGTTTAAGACAGCACCTCTTGCAACAGATCTCCTACTGCGACTCCTGTAAGCAGCATGGTCACACCAGTGGATCCTTGTGTTCAATGACAATTTCACTGTGAACTGATCAGTAAAGGCAGCAAGACCCAACTTCCACGCACTCATGGGAGAAACACATCCCCAAAAGGGACTTTGCAGCTAAGCTGTTCAGAGTCCTACCAGCAGCTCACATGAACAGAAAACACCAAGGGACAGACACAGCCAAAAGATTTCCATGGAGGCAAAAGCAGTCTTGATGTACCGAGCTTTTATCCAGCTGGATTTGCTCTCCAACAAAGCAAGAGTCTCACGAGCCCTAATGCATAAATTTCCAGGTATTAATACTTACTTTCCCCAGAACAGACACTTGCCGGTTTTAAAACCATACCTGCTGGGCAGAGATAAAGTGGTTAACGCTGTTTGGCAAACACAAATCAGATACAATAGCAGGCAAGGTACATCACCTGCCAACTGTGCAATAGTTCCCAAGAAAACACATGTTCCAGGCTCAATCCACAGCAGACTTACCCCAGCCAGTGCCTGGGGTTCAGCGTGCTGCACCTACACTTGCTATCTACTGCTGACACACAGAGCTTTCTGCTTCTGTGGCAGGCACAGAGGCACCACAGGCTGCACGGCCTTGGCCCTCTTACACAGGCAGGCACACAGCTTGTGCAAATTGATCTCTCTCTCCCTATGCTGAGCTCATCTGGGCCACACACACCACGCTCACCCCCCGGCACAGAAACACTAACTAACCCGTGTTAGAGAACTGACAGCTGTCTCCTGCCAAACCCCATGTCAGCCCTGAGAGCCGAAACAGTTACCATGAACCAGTTCCCTCCTTCCTGACCATCCAATTTCTGGAGAGATGTCTGAAAACTCAATGCTTACAACAGGCAGGAGAGAAGAGAAGGAATTCTACACAAAGCTACAGTTCTTTTAGTGCAAGGGGACAATGGTATAAAAAGGGCAAAGGCTCTAACAATTCAGCATAATGCTCAGCAGCACAGTCCAACTGTACAGCAAAGTGAGGCATGGAGGAGATGGGAGGCTGCAGGAAAGGTCTGGCAGAGAAAGAGGGTTGAGACAGGACGGAAAGACAGAAGGGTCACACACAATTTTTTAAACCTTTACTACATTAGTTAAGGTGATCATTTTTGAAAGGGATCATCCCTAGAAAAATCCTTGAACCCTGGCATCTTCGATTTACCAAGCACCCCCACTCTGCTCAGTGCCACACATGCTGTGGGTTTGCATTTCCATTTTGTCCCATAACACCTCCTGCTCTTTTCATCTTCACAATCTCAAGGAAGAAGAAAACGCGGTCCCCGCACACGTCCCACAGCAGCTCACACACAGGGGAGCAATCAAGCATTAACAGTAAAAGAACACGGAGGCTCCCGCCCCCATGCCGGTGTTAGAAGCAGAGAGAAGCTACAATTTCACAGAGAACGGCTGACCTGGGATCTTCCAGATATTTTCCAAGCCTCTGATGTGTTATTATAGGACTATATGCACACGTACCCCCACACAGAAATGCATATATTAAATTACTCTTCAGATATGCCACATGCTCTTCCCTCACGCACACCTGAAGAACAGCACAGCCCACACACTCAACATCCACTGGCGAAGCTGAACGCGCACAACCATACCAACGCAACCGGCGCTTGGCAGCTGTGGGATGTTTAGCATAAAAGCCCAAGCTGGAGACGAGCCCCATACCATGGTCAGGGCAGAGGAGTTTGCTTTGCCAGCAGCTGTGCTTTCAGGGTGGAAAGCAACACTGAATACGTCTGCCCCTCCTCTGCAGTGCTTTATCTGCTCTAACAGAGCTGAAGGCAAGTCAGAATAGAGCACATCAGCTATGCATTTTTCTCAGGAGAGACCTAAACACATTCTCCAGCCTCATACCACAGTGCACTTTTCTCAGCATGACTGAACAAAAACAAGCAATGTCATGCTCTTTTGCCTCTTGTTACTCAGCATATGCTTTCTGTTCACCATTCCCCAAGCAGCATCTGCAAAGAGAGAAGGAAAACAAAACACAGCCTAGAGATCCACCATATCCCAAACCAGTCTTCAGACAGATTATTCCCTCAAATATTTATGGGAGCATTTTCTTTTGGCAGCATCGGGTATCTACTGCTCCCTCTGATGTAAACTGGCATTGCAAGTGGCTTTGTACCTTGGCCTCTGAAAAAAGTCTGGTGTGGTTTGACACAACTACCTTGGAAAAGGAAACAAGAATGATACAGGACTGCAGGCCACAGTCTGCTGGGGCAGAAACAGGAGCACTTGCAGGACGGGAGGGAAAGGAATATCTTGTGTGGCCACAGGAACGATGCCAGAGATAATGGCACCAGTATCTGGAAGGCGTGAAGCATCCCCCCTCTTATCTCGGTACAGGACAAGAAGTACGATGGAATCAGCCTAATCAGAAACACTAAGATAGCAAAACCACGCCAGACAGGGGAGTCATTTCTATGGGCTGTGGTGAAACAGCCCTCTCCTGCAGTCAGCCTCTACTGCTGACTCAAAAATGCTCCAGTTAGCACACACCTCACTGAGCTGACCCCTCCCTGATCTCTGCTCCTCTCAACAAGCTAACGAAGGGCAGAAGCAGCCAGTCTCTAGCAGTGAGAGAGAAAAGAAATCCAGTTCTTGGTCCTGCTGCAAGTACACTGCATACAGAATACAGGGGAAGCACAAGTACTTAGTGTTACAGAAAGGAAACTTCCCACTCCAAGATTCCACTTTTTACTTGAATTAAGAAAAAGGGAGCTCTTACCGATATTCTATGACCTGCTTTAAAAAACCCTCCACCTATTTGTTCCTTTCCAATGATGGAGGAAGTCATGTGAAACAAAACCCATTAAATCTAAGTCCACCTGGCTGCCCTTGGCACAGAAGCTAAGGGGAGCACTGCAAGGAAGGAGTGCTGCCCTGCAGAGAGCCAACCCTTTGCATGGGGCCAGGAGCATTTCGGAGGATGTATAACTGAGCACATCTCTGCCTGCAGCTCTGATGTAGCACAACTTCTGCCATCTCCATGATGAGACTTAGACTCTGTAGCCAGAGAACGTGAGTTTGGTCTGTGAGGGTGAAATCTTTAGGTGGGGTCTGAATGAAGGGAGCAAGCAGCAGGGTCACACTGGTGACTTGGCCCCACAACCCTACAGAGCAACCACGAGACAGCAAAGTGAGCAGGATCCTTCCCACTGGACAGTTCCCACTTCTTGGCCTAGAGGATGAAGGCGAGCTGCAGCCGGCTGTGGGGCAGCACATCCTCCAGACACAGGCTGGGGAGAGGCAAGCCCCCTTCTACGCCACCCTACCAAGCCACACAGCCATGAATCCTGTGGCTGGCACACCTTCCTGAAGCAGCAGCAGAACATCAGCAGGAGGTGTTTCTGGATGTACTCCAGATCTGCATTCCAATAACCAGCACATTTGGCACCAACTACAAATGGCAGCCACTATGGCAGAAGGTTGCCATGTCGGCATGTCCTAGAGCTAGCCCCAGCTGATGGCAGTACGCAGACATCAGTACAGCCCTTTGACATGATGCTCTTTCAAAGAATTTCAGGCTCTTCTGTGAAAGAAGGCCAGTCTTCTCAGCAGAATAGCAACATGAACATCACGTATCTTTACCTTAATAACAGAGCACAGCTGTAGCAGGTCATGCCAAAGGTCCAGTGAGCATGGTACCTGCTATCTGACCAGCTCCAAAAGCAGATGCTTAAAGAAGAGTGTAAGAACAGAGCACAACACAGCAATACTTTTCCAGAATACCCTCCCAGCCTCCAGAGATTCCTGGATCATGCACTCCCTGAACCAGGCTGTAGCTCTGTATTTAACACCCTTAACATTCTGTCCGAAATTTATCAGCTTGCTTTTCCAGCTCATGTACACTTTTAGCATCATCTCACTACACGAAGCCCCTTCCCCACTCCTCCACCTCAAACACATTTTGACTTTACCTTGACTACATGAAAGTTAAAACTGAAGGGTCTTGTTGACATTGAGGCAGTCATTGCAGTAAAAAACACCTCCTCACGGCAGTGAAAGCACAGCCTGCATGAGCCCTCCTGCAGCTGGGCTGATTACAGGTGCCCACGAAGCATGAATTCCTCGGAGCCCTGCAAATACAAAAATGTCCTATACAGGCCCACAAGGAGCTCTCCAGTCAGCTTTTATTTGCCTGGTTATTTCAGCTAAGCAGCTCGTGTCTATATTAATTTGTTTTTATAGGAAATTAATTAAGCAATTTTTTTTAAAATACTTAATTTAAAAAAATAAAAATTAAACAGTTGGCCAGAGAAGAGTTCCCAATTCCCAAGCCAAGTTGTGTCGGTGTAATTAACTTGCCTGCTTTGAGGGCATCACCTCCCCCAGGACTCCCAGCTTGCACCAGGTACCGTGCTGGCCTGTTTTTCCTTTTAGCCGCTGCTCCCTCAAAGAGGCAGTGTAATTACTCTCTGCTCGGAGCACCAGACCCCATTATCCCTGAGAAACCTTAGCAACTAAGTGAGTGTTTGCTCTTGTTGCTATGACAGAGGATAAATGACTAGCGGAGACAGATAAGGTTAACCCAGCCTCTGCCTCCCACCCACCGCTGGCCAGTCCCTTTTCCTCCCAGACACTAGTCTCAGCAGGGAGACAAGTACGAGCAGGCAGGGAAAGGCTATTTAGTCCAGACGCACGTCTTCCCCTCATGTTTTAAAGATCCTAGTGCCACAGTTGTATTTCAAAGCACACGTCTGTTTTAAAGTGACAGAATAACCCTTGGGGCTGTAGAAGCATGGAAGAAGACACACACTTGACTTTGAAGATACGGCCAAGTAACAGAGACAGAGAAGGGCAGTAACTGTGCTTGTACAAGCACTGGCCTGAATCAGGGCTTTATAAAAGTTTTTCTCACACACAAACCACTTTGAACGGCCTGTTCACACCTACATCTAGCAGTTTCTCAGCCCCTGCAGTGGCAAAGGAGCCTGCTGCAAGCATTGACATTTTATAGGGGCTAAGCAGGGAGGAAGCACAAGCACAGCAGAGCCAAGCAATCCACATCATCTTCCTGCTGCCCACTCTCAGGGAGGGAGAGAACTGGGCCGGTACACAGGGGCATGGCTGAGAATCGGCCTTTTGCAATTTCCTACAGCGACAAATCCCCGCTGTTAGTGCAAACCTATGCAGCAGATGGAGAGCCAAGCGACACAAGGAATCCAATATGATCAGACTTGACTTGCAGCTCTGCAGCTTGGGCCAACAGAGGGAAGGAAAGCACAATGTCCAAATAAACACCACAAAGCCTTGGCAAGCTTTGGGACAACAACTTAAGAACCCAATCAGGCAGACTTTCTACCCATCTGTCCCACCACAAAAGCTCAACCTAAGCAGTACCAGCACCAGCGAAACAGGGAAGACCTCATTCAGACTCATGTATTTGATTTTGCTTGGCCCAGCTCAAGGCAAACACAAATCGGCATCGGCACATGGAAGTGGAGAGAAGTATCATTATGATGTAAAGCCAAGTTGGAAAAG